ATTTATTAAGTACAGTGTTTGGCAAGTACTTTGACAGTGATGTTAAGTTCAAATGAATCCGGGTTGGGTTCAAATGAACCGGGTTTGTTTCAAATGAACTGAAGTGGGCTTGGGTTGGATTCAAATGATTTCGATGTGAGCTCAAATGAACTCGGGTTGGATTCAAATGAATCCGAAAGATCTCGAATTGAATTTAGGTGAACCAAGGTTGGGTTCAAATGAACCTAAAATTTGTTTGTTCAAACGACTTATTTGAAGAAGATTAGGACTATCAGAAATGGCCGATTACCAGAAATCATGGAACAAATATGGTAAATCAATTAAGACAAAAATTGATCTTGGCTTGAGGCTGCAGCAGGCAGTGTAGCATTCATGCCCAGAATGGTAAGTTCAATCAGTGATCGTTTCAAGTACAACATTATCAAGATTCTGAATAGAAGTCGTTGAATACAGAGATTTAATTTCAATTTACGAAATTTTTGAAGAACCAATTCGTAGTAAAATCAAAATGATCCTTAAAAATCATGGCCATAATAATTCTTTATTAAAAACTCAGCAATTATCTGAGGAGGTTGGAAAGATTAAGAAGTCGGATTTTAAGCAAGAAATACTCATGAATGATAGCGTACAAATTGATGCATCAGTGATGTATTATCGTGTTAAATTTAACAATAAATTAAAGAGCGACAATTATCAGCTTTATGGTAGCTTGACAACAACATCTAGGCAGCAAGTTTATGAAAAGATTATTAAATTTAAAGAAAAAAATATCTTTGGATTTTCCGTTATTATCGAAAACATTTTAGATAAAAAGTAAGACCTTTTAATATGTTTATAATTTACTCTTAAATTACTCATTTTCCTAATAATTTACTATTACAGCGTAAAAAATTTTAAAAAAATGAACATAAACTGGATGCTAGTTGGAAATCCAGAAATTATTGAACATTTGCAAGAATTTGAAAATCCTCATGATGAAAGTTCAAATGATCGAAATTTAATTGTTGTCGGAACTGGAAAGAAAACGATTGAACCTAATAATAAACAAAATTGGGAAATTAGCATTGATACAATTCCAATACTTCCGTTAAATGCAGTATTTGCTTGCACATTCAAATATCCATTGTCGAACAATGAACCATCATTTCTGGCTTCTATTAAATCTTATAATGATGTAAACGGCACTTTAATAGTGAACATAGCTAATCACACACACAACGTTTCAAATAACCGTGATAAAGATGGTGCCAATGGTGGCAATACCTTCGATTATGATGGTAACGATGATAATTATGTTAACGGTAATGATATAAAAATGACATTGGAAGAGAAATTGGAATGCCAAATATATTGGTGTATTTATCTTACATCAACACAAGAAATTACAATTGGACAATTTTGTAATAACGTTGATTATCTTGCACAAACTAGGACTCAATTTGAAAAATTATCAAACATAACTACTAAAATATTAGAAATAGAAAAGGATACTGAATTTAAAGACTTAGTTGTTCCAAATTACAAGTTAATTAATGAACAAGTTGTACTTCCCGAAAGTGTGTCTCACGTATCTTGCGTTGACGCAAGTTTCATATTACTTGATGAGATAAAAAATATCGTTATAAATCTTAGGAAAAGCAAAAAGATCTTTGACCCAATCATTCATTCTTCATCAGAGACTGTTCGAGCCTTACATTATGTAAAGAATGAAGCCGAATTATATTTTCAACAATATGAAGATGCTTTTAATAAATATAAAATTTCATTAGAAAACATAAAAGAGTTTGCAAAAGAAGTAGCGAATATAGAAAAGAAACGTTATCTCTTTTTTCCGTATAGGCATGTAAAAGAGAAATATGAAAAATTATTAAAGGAACATGAGAGTTGTAAAAAAAAATTAAATCCAATTCTGATTAAAGTTATAATAAACAAACAAGAGAGCCAACAAGACGATTTTAAAAACATTCATGAGGTACTGTATATTTATATTTGTGTCAAATAAAAAAAAAAGAAATTTCTTTAATTTCTACTTTATTTCTAAAATAAATTTACCTTTTTTTTTTTTTTTATTACTATAATAGATTTTAAAAACTATTCCTAATGACAATAAAAACGAACACATAATCAGAATTGAAACAATATTTCAAACCTTATTCGAAAAATCAATTTTAGAAACCAGTATTCCACGTATCGATTCCGCATTATTATTTGAACCTCCTATTGTAGGCGATTCGAAAGTGAATCTTGAAAATGAACCAAATAGAAAGTCAGAATGGGATCTAGATGGCTGCGTACAAACGAAAATTGTAAAGAAGACCTTTAAACGTATTGTGGAAGTGGCATGTGAACCCATTACTGTTTTCGAACAAAACATGTCAATGTTGAGTGAATTAAAGAGATTTGATGAAAGCAGAAATATCCTTAAATTTTATGGACTTTCAAAGGTTGACGATGATGAAATGTTGGTATTTGAATGGGCAAGCTTGGGTAGTTTGAAGGATGTCTATGAGGATAAGAACATTCCTTGGGATTTAAAAGTGAAAATTGCATATAATATTTGTCAAGGTTTACTATTTTTGAGTCATAATGACATTCTTCATCGTGATGTTCGATGTGAAAACATAATGGTAAATATTGTTTCAAACTTACTCCAAAATTCTGGTGAATTCTGTTCAATTCTAATCATAGCTATCATTTATCCATTCTATCGTAGATGAACTATTATATGGAACCGAAAATTGCAAATTTTTATCTTGCCAAGCATGCTTCAGAAATAGCACCAGATAACGATCACATCTCGGATCATATCTTGAGTATTATCAATTGGGCTGCACCTGAAATGATGCAAAGGAATGCTTTATATACAAAAGAGTGTGAGGTGTTCAGGTATCTATTCTAAAGAACTTATTGTAACAACTCCAATTATGTCAATGGTTATATTAATATTGTATACGCTGTTATTTGTATAGTTTCGTAATGCTCTTATGGGAACTAGCTTTCCAAAAGATTCCCTATAAAAAAATGAGTAAAGAAGATATTATTATTCATGTTACAAATGGTCGTAGAGAATCGTCCCCTGATCCACGTTTTTATGTATTGGAATTTCTTAACATTCAAAGAAAATACTTAAGAATCATTGTAGAAGGTATTGTTATCAATTATTACTTTTATAAATGATTTTCTGTTCATGAACTATGTACTAATATTTATAAAATCCTTTATGAAACAAAGGATGGAATAATAAACCGGAAAAAAGGATTAAAATGGACGAAATTCTATTGAGATTTTTAGAAATTGAAGCTGACCTATCTAAACCTAAAAGAAATAATTCTGGTTCTGCCCATTCGTCTGATCAACTTGATCAACTTTCACATACACGCACTAGGGCTGCTTCAATTCCGGTTAAGCCTATTACCTTTCACAGGCGACGTGAAATTCCGTTGAAACCAAAAGAAAGAGAATTCAAGCCCGATAAACCTACAACTCCGGATTCTCCAGGATTCAACCCTTCTCCTAATACTTATTATCCAAAAGAACCTAAAAAATCTAGACCATCGTCATTAATTTTAACACCGAGTTTGGAACCTGTAAATGAATTGTATCCTCCATATTTGACGGAAACACCGGCTGAGATTGATTCGTTCATGATCAATCCAGAGACATGGCAAATAGAAATACCAAGCAAGATTGAACTGTCCAATTTGATTCCACCGAGATCGTCAATCATATCAAGCGTAAATGAACCAAATAAGACTTCAAATTTAATAAAACCTGATGAAGCGATTGAAGCACCAAATAAGACTTCGAATTTAATAAAACCTGATGAAGCGATTGAAGCACTAAATAAGACTTCAAATTCAATAAAACCTGATGAAGCGATTGAAGCACCAAATAAGACTTCAAATTTAATAAAACCTGATGAAGCGATTGAAGCACCAAATAAGACTTCAAATTTAATAAAACCTGATGAAGTGATTGAAGCACCAAGTAAGACTTCGGATTTGATAAAGCCTGATGAAGTGATTGAAACATCTGATAAATCTTCGAATTCAATAAAAACTGAACCGATCAAGGAACCAAATGAAACACCAAATTTAATAGAAACAAACGAAGTAAATGGAACTGAACAATCAAAACAGTCGACTATAAATGGACCGATAAAAACAAATCAAGTAAATGAAACTAAACCATCCAAACAGCCAAATGTAAATGGACCATCTGTTATGAAAGTTGCTGACGGGACAAAACCATCACATGAAGATGATGATTATACCAAATCAATAAAATCAATAAAATCATCAGATTATGAAAATGTGACAAAATCGTTAGAAAATGATCCCAACATACCAAATGGTATGAAAATACCATTAGATAATGAGCTAACGCTGTCGGATAATGATGAGGTAATATTATCAGATAGCGACAACAATAACGATGAAGAGATGGAAAATAATGATCCAATACCATCGGATAGTGAAAAAACAAAATCATCGGAGAAACCAAAGCCACAAAATTTACAAGATATACCAAGTTCGATAAGTAAAAAACTAAATCACGGATTGATTATCAACACGCAAAAAATGCAGATAGCAGGTCCTTCAGCATGTGCCTTTATGTCAAAACCGAAAATGAACGTTTTAGATACTATAAAATTTCAGGCAAAATTAATACTTTCATCAAAATATAAGGATTCCTTTTTATTGGAGAATCATATAGAATCACCTACTGATTTGGATTGGATATCTGACGCGAATCCTCAAATCGATATATCGCAAGTGAATACCGTTTGTTTAGAAATAAGATATGCAAAAGCCGAAGCCACTTTTGAAAAAGGTTCCATAGAACCATCAAAAGAATTAACCATTGCCATTAAAAAGGCTCTAAAACATAGAAATCCATATCGAGAGTTAATGAAAGCATTCGATTATTTTGGTCATTTCTTGCCTAATAAAGTTATACTTGGAGATAAACTATATTCAATATCGAAAAATTCAAGCGCAAATCAAGAATTAACAGAGTTAAAAATCGATAAAGAATTTAAAGCGGCCGATGATTTTTCACAAAATTGTACCGATTACAATGATATTATTAAGCAATGGGAAAAATGCATAGAATCACATAATCTTGGTTCGTCACCTTTAACTACAATTAATGGTAATGCTGTTAAGAAAAATAAAATTAAAGAATGGGCAATTTCTTGTTTAAAAAAGAGTTCTGATTCATGGAGTATTATCAGTTGGGAAGGTTTATATCCTTTGTATGAAATATTAGATGCAGATTTATGTCAAGAAGTCAAATTATGTCTCGGAAACGATGAACAAGCGATTATTACCGGAATTAAAGAAAAAGTTCTCAGATCAGGCGTAATACCGATTGAAAATTCACAATATCAATATTCTGTAAAATTTGATTCTCCACTAGAATCAAAAAATTATCAGATTTTCGGTAAAATCTTGACACAAAGTGGCACCCCATTTAATAAAGCTGATGTTAAATTTAAATCTAAAGATGAGTCTGGATTTTCAGCGATAGTTGAAGATTTTTCGTAAGTGTTAACCATATTTGCTTTTTGCTTTTTTCTTCATTTTTATTCCTATCGGTAATTATGATTTTATAACCTTTTAATTTTATTTTTATTTAGAGAGGATAAACATGATAATTTGCAAATAACTTGGATATTAATAGGAATACCAGCTGAAGTTGGTATTTTTGAATCGAATACGCGAAATATTTCCGTATTATGCGTAAATAGTAATCAATTTGTTCCAAAACCAGCAAATGACGATACAGGAATAGATAGTTGTGAGATTCAATTAAAAACTTCCGAAAATTTGCAATCAAACGCAGTTATCATTACCTCATTCAAGTACCCTAAGTCAAACTACCAACAATCTTTTATAGCAAAAGTTAAAGATTATCGTGATAAAACGATCCACATTAATATTAGTGTCAGAAAAAATGGAAAAGAATCTGTAGATGATGATGACGAAGATTTTGTAGAGATTCCTGAACTTAATTGGTGCGTTCTTCTATTGGACGATGAGGATGAAACAAATAATTTGAGAGAAATAGGTCAAAGTGTTCATGCTAATTATTTAAATTCAAATAATGAATTAGATTTGAGCTACAAGAAACTTGATACTGAAATAGGAAATGAATTGGTAAACTCTTTAAAAGGAAATAAAACTATTAGCAGCTTAGACATAAGTTATAACAATATTGGTTCAAAACTGGGAAAGGCACTCATGAAAATTTTAGTAGCCAATGACACACTCACTCGCTTAAATTTAAGCTCTACTAATATTGAGTCTGATACATTAGCTCTTTTATTGAAGATTTTAAAAGCTAATAAAACCCGCCTTGCTGATTTGAATTTAAGCAATAACGGTGAAAAACTCACTAAAAAAGGAAAAATATTGATGGAAGCTTTAGGAAAAAACACAACTCTTATCAGCTTAAACTTAAGCGACAATCCTATTGATTGGTCCGATGTAAGCTTTGTTCATTTAGAAAGTAACAAAACTCTTGAGAATTTAGATTTAAGCAATTGTAATCTTTCTCCTAAAGTAGTAGAAAAATTGAAGAAATTCTTAATAACTTCAAAGAGGCTTAAAGGATTAAATCTAAGTTCAAATAATCTTACTTTCCTATCAGAACGCATAATTTCAGAAATCTTGTCAAAAAATAAAACTATTAAAACTTTAAATTTGAGTTCAAATAAGATTAGTTCGACAATAGAGTCTTTAGAAAAAGGTGCAAGAACAAGTTTAACGGGCAGATACAAGTCCAAGTCCAAGTATGAAATGTCCCGTCCTCTAAAAGTAAATAATTTGGCGGAAGCAATAAAGAGAAATAAAACTCTTAAGAAGTTGGATTTAAGTTCCAATTATATTCGTCTCGAAGCTGGAAAAGACTTAGCAAGAGCTTTAGCAAGCAATAAATTAATTACCGAATTGAACTTAAATGATAATGATATTGTTCATGAAATAGGAGAGCTTTTAATAAATGTTTTAATAAACAATGATATTACCAGTATAGGTTTAAGATCAACAAAAATCAGTTCTGGAATGGTAATAAACATATCACAAGAATTAAAGTCGAATAAAATTAAACTCCGGTATTTAAATTTGAGTCGTAACGAAATTAGCAGTGATGCGATGGAAGCTTTAGTAGAAGCTTTAGAAGAAAATACGACACTCAAAAGTTTGGATCTGAGCAACATTACAGGAGCGGGACAAACAGGACGAGCATTAGTAAAGTCTTTAGAAAAAAATCGAACACTAAAAACTTTAAATTTAAGTAACTGTAATATTCGTAATAGCGTAGTAACTGCTTTAGAAAAGGCTTTACAAACAAATGACATACTCACTGATCTAGATCTAAGTTACAATGCACTTCCAATGAGTAACTTGATAAAAGCTTTAGAGAGAAATAATTCACTCACTAAACTGAATATAAGTTACAGAGATTTCCATTTAAAAGAAATAGAAGCTTTAGCGAATGTTTTAAAAGTCAATGACACAATTACTCATTTATATTTAAGTAGAACTATGGATGATCCTGAAAACGGAAAAGTTTTATTTGAAGCTTTAGAGGTGAACAAGAAACTTACTGATTTGGATTTGAGTAGAAATAATATTAGAGAAATAGAAGTTATAGCTAAGGCTTTATTAAATAACGTATCTCTTCGAAGAGTAGACTTAACGTCTAATCAAATCGAAAGTCAAGAGAAGAGAACTGAATTTAGAAGAATTTTAAAACCTAAAATTTTTATGTTAAATGTTAAATTTTAAAAAATATCGAAAAAAAAAAAGATTTATTATAGCATATGCAGTTAGTAGAGTACGTAGTATGTATAAATTTTAAAAACAAACTTTAATCATTGTATATTTATTTATCAAATAAAAATTGGTCTTTATTTTGGAGATTGGACTTATATTCAGTAAAAGTTAAGATCCGGGTTACCCATTCGTTTAAAATCATTACGTACCCGACCACAAACCGGGTCTTTCGATAGTGACCGATCAAATCGATCAAATATACAAAACTTTACCATTACTTTTTTTTTCACTTAATGCGTATGACGGTTTTAATGGCAGGATGGTTTACTATTACATAAATTCATGCCCAATTTTTTTGCAAAACTAGGTCGCGGAAGATTGATCCACGTGTTTATGAATAATCATCCAATTCTCACATGACAACAAGTATAAATTTAAGAATAAATCAATGTGATAATTATCAGTTTTATGAAAGCTTAATAACATTTGGACAACAAATAATAGGATAAATTTTATCAAGTGCAGTATATACTTAATCATTAAAATACTAATTAACAATGAACCACCTTTTATTGCTTTTATTAAATCTTATGATAATGAAAAAATGGTACTTAAGCAGTAAATGTGATAAATCATAATTTTTCAATTATCTTTGAAAAGATGGTATTATCTTCAATGACAATATTAGTGGTGATGTAAAAATAGCATTGGATGGCAAATAGGAAATATGTGACAGGTTACAATAACTCCGACCTCCGAATTAATTATAAAAAAATTGTATCATTATATGATATAAATTTTATTAATAATAAAATAAAAAACTACGGAAAATTTCAAATTATTGATTATTTTCGAATAAACCAACTGAAAATTCGACGAAAACTATGTTAGAAATTTTATTTAAAATTATAGAAAAGCTCACAATATACCAATAGAAAAAAGTTATTTCACCCTCTATCATTTATATTAATTTTGTAATAGACCAAATTTCACTTCAATCAGCTTCTGCATAATGAATAAAAAGAAAATCAAAGACAAAAAAAAACCATATCTGATGGCAACAGCTAGAACAAAAAAAAAGGACCGTTAAAAAAAAGTGGCATACTACAAAATATTAACAAAAAAAATAATTTTATTGCTTTTTAAGTTATAATTCTGTATTTAGAGCAAATAAAAACTAAATTACTTATTATATTCTTATTTGTGAAATATGTATAAAATTTTTTTCGAAAATCCAGATATTGATATTGGGTTTGGAGCCAGATTTTCTACGTATCTGCGACCACGTTATATGTATTACGTTGCACCAAATCTTGCATTTCCCGAGTCCCTGAGTATAACCAATCAAATAATGGACCTGCCATGCATTTTTTATTGAGCAGTACAATCAATAGTAATATTGCCTCATATCAACTTCGAATTTGGGGTATTAATATCGCGTCAAAAAATGATGTTTCAAGTGCTTTGTTAACTGATGATAATGAATTGAAAGAAGAAAGAAACACTATTGCAAATACTTTTTGTGAGATAGAAAATAATAATATTCGAGTTTTAGTCGAAATTCCTGTCGTGGGTGAATCTATTTCTGTGAAGGATCTCATGCATGACTTTGAAAAGATGGTCTGTGTATTATTTTGAAATATTATAATTTAGAACCTTTATTCTTACAAGCAATGTTTTTAGAGCTTGTCAAGTAAATTTGGTGATATGAGCTTGTCTACTTCTAATTCCCTTTCGATACTATTAAAAACTACGAAAACAAATTTGGAAAGCATAAATAGAATTTTGGAGTACATGAAAGAACTTTCGAATAACATAAAAGGATTTTCAGATAACATAAAAGGAGTTTTGGATAACATGAAAAGAGTTTCAGATAACATGAAAGGAGTTTCAGATAACATGAAAGATGTTTCAGATAACATGAAAGAATTTTCAAATAACATGCAAGAACTGATTCGAATTGAAAAAGAATGACATAAAATATCTAAGGTGCCAAGTAAGGTGTTCAATATGCAAAATTTATCACATTCTATTGCTAATTCCATAGTTGCACTAGGCTCTGTTACATGTGCTAAAGTATACAAGAATATTGATTTTGAATTAGTTGACTACAAGTAACTTCTTTCTGAGACTAATTCTTACCTTGGTGAACTTTCCAATAATATAGCTAGATACATAGAAGACAAACCAATTTTACACACAAGAACAGAGAATAAAGTTCAAGAGTGGTTTAAAACTCTGATAGATTTTTTGAATTTAAATTGAAGTATCAAAAAATATGTTAAAAGTGTTTTAAGAGACACACATTAAATACCATACCTCAACAGATTCAAGCTAGATTACAGCATCTTTAGAAAGGACGACATGCCTAGAGATGGGTTTTATGCGTGCACATGATTCCTTAATCATGCGCATTAATGTGTATTTATGCGCATGTTTCAGAATCATGCATATTTTATCCCATCTAAATTTTATATAGAAAAATTGAAGCATATATAATTTAGGCCAGAGAGCATATTTTTGGGTGGAATTAAGGAATATGAACATGAAAGCCTTGAAAAATTCTGAAAAGAAAATGAATGAACATAAAAGAAGAGCAAGATTGGAGTAAAAATTTGAGTATGTATCTGATATTTTTTGAAGGAAAATTATTTTATATAAAATGTGTATTAATGCATATTCATGCATATCTTATTATAAAATGTGCATTTTTCTCATTACTAGACATGCCAAGTGATGCTTTTACTCCCATGGTTGTCCAAATGATTCTGGAATTGAAGAAAATACAAAAGAAAGGCTGACTTCTTTGATGAAGAAAAAGGATAACTAGTGGATTATCTTAATAAATTTAATATCAACCATTGCACAAATTATTTGCAATATTTTTATCAGATGGGTTTTTATTCTATGTTATAGCCTTTAATTGAAGTACTAGTTGGTATTAAAAATTTTTATCCAATTTCAAGACAGGGTTGTGTCTTTTTCATATATTGATTTATCGAAATTCAGACTTTATACAAATATGTAGGCTTACAAGTATAGACTTTGTTTTAATAATAATACAGATATAAAAATAATTAAAATATGCCTGGAAGGATTTCTAGATGAGGGCACATCCACAAATATATATAAATCAAGTAGAATGACAAACTAGCAGTTATAAAGATATTTTCACATATAAATTGCTTTACTGATTTGGATAATGAGGTATCAATGCTAAAAAGAATAAATCAATGTAAATTCATAAATATTCATACATTTATTACAAGTGATAGTCATTATCTAATTATTTATCCAGTTTGCAAGCATTTTAGCAAAAATTTTAACAGTTTTTAGGCTCATTATTGTAAACAGCTTATAAACCTTTTGAAGAATATTCACACATATAATATTTTCCACTGAGATATTCACCTTTCAAATATATGTTAAATACTATAAGTAATTCACTTATACAGTCTAATCTCATTATAGTCACTCTTAATATAGTCACAACCTTGTTATAATTATACTATTTTTTTGGTCTAGCCATTATAAAACATATAAAATTTGACCTTTATTTAGTCACAACTTTTTATAATTACCAAAATTTTGTTTTTCAACCTGGTAATTATAATGAGGTCAAACTGTACTGGTCGATTGGGAGTCAGCAATTCATAATTTTTATAAATATGTGGTGCTTTACAAAGAAACTATTATATATGCTTTGCCTTCTATCTTAGACAACAATATGAAAGACTATATTTCACAGCCAGCTAATAATCTGCATTCTTTTGTATATACAATATATGTTTTGCATAATCCATAGAAAAAACCAGAGTTAGCATCATCAAGTATACAAAATATCAAAAAGTATTGGGATACTAAACTGAATTATCTTCTTATCTGGAAAGAAATATCAGATATTGCAGATAATAACCAAGTTGAGCTACTAGAAAAACTATATTTTTGAGCATTGATTTTTTTGTACAAAAAGTTTTATTTTTTGTATATTTTCTGTTTCTGGAATATGCTTTTATTATTGCAGTATTTAAGATTTAATTTTATGATATTTATTTATACTTTGGATCCAGAGCTTATTTGTCTATATATTAAGTAATAAATTAATTTTTTATATATTTTTTTCATTAATCATATATTGTTTTGATTGATGTTTTAAATTTTAGACATGGCTTGTTTTACATAAGTAATTGTGCAAATATAATTTATTCTGAATATTTTATGAGACAAAGCAATTTTATTAGTATTTTATACTTTTGCAGTTACAGTACAATTTAAAACATTGTACAAAATACTAAAGTGAAAATTGCATATAATTTTCAAGATTTATTATTTTTAAAACATTCTAACATTTTTTATTGTGATGTTCTATATGAGAATATAATGGTAATTGTTATTTTTTTTTAAATCTTTCTTCAAAATTCTGTAACTATAATCTTTATTAATCTTTATTTATTTATTTATTGTAAATGATTTATTATATAGAACCAAAGATCACAAATTTTTATCTTGCCAAACATGTGTCAAATAATGATATCAGATTATATCTCGAGAATTATTAATTAGTTTGCACCTAAAAAAAATGTTATATGTATATTATATATTAGATTATAATCAGTTGACTAATATTAAATAATCAGTAATAATTGGCCTAAAAAAACTTCTAACTTTACTGTAATTTTACCTTAACACTAATCTAACTTAGACTAATTGCAATCTGATGCAAGTTTTAATCTAATACATGATATATACATATTCAAAAATGTGAAGCTTTTAGGTGTCTTTTCAAAAAACTTTTATTATTTAACAATTTTAGTCTTGTCAATTATATAAATAGTTATACTAATAATTGGTATATATGGTAATTTGTATAGTTGCTAATACTTTTATAAGAACTAACTTTTTAAAAGATTCCTTATAAAAAAATGAGTAAAAAAATGTCAAATAGTTGTAGAAAATCCTCTAATCCAATTTGAATTTCTTAATATTCAAAGAAAATATTTAAGAATTATCGCAGAAGGTATTGTTATCAATTTTTACTTAGAATTAATATTTATAAAATCCTTTACAAAATAAAAAATACAAGAAAAAAGGATTAGGATAGATGAAGTTCTATTGAGATTTTTAGATATTGAAGCTGAATTAACTAAACTAAGAGAAATAATTTAGGTTCTGTTTATCATATAATCAACTTGTCGATTCGCATATATATACAAGAGCTGCTTCAATTTCAGTTAAGCCTATTGCCTATTACCTTAAATTCTATTAAGACCCAAGGAAAATAAATCCAAGTCCGATAAATATACAATTCTAGATTCTCCAGGATTCTTCAAGATTTATTATCTAAAAAAACTTAAAAAATCTAGAACATTATTAATTTTAATACTGCATTAGAATTTGTAAAAAAATCATATTCATATTTTATGATAACACCAACTGAGATAGATTTTTTAAAGTTATAATGAACAAGTCTTTATAAAAAAGGCATTCCAGAATACATCTATAAAATTTCTATTATTATGACTATAGCTCTATAAAATTTCTAGATATTTATAAAAAATAGCAACTAGACTATTTTATATCCAGTTTTTTTTTATAATATTACTATTAGTCATTTATAGTAAAATTTTTTTTACACTAGTATATGGAATTAAAATAGACTTTATATAAAAAATTAAATTATCAAAAGGTAATAAATTTCAAGTAACAAGCAAATAAATCTGGAAATTATCTGGAAATAATCTGAAAGATATTAATTTTTTTTTTATTAAAAAAACAATTTGATTGAATTAATGAAATTTGACCTGATTTTCTTTATCAATTATATATACTATCAATTACCATCATTTCTGGTCCCAGTAGTTTAGGTTCTGCCACATTAAAAGTAATACTGTAATAAATTACCATATTGAGAATAAAAAAATAATAAATTAAAAAATACTTAGCTAAAAACACTACTAGCAAACTCCCAGCCAACACGAAACACTATAGTATTTAGACCAAATCTAATCGCGTTTTCAATTAGATCTTCCACATTATTCTTTATGCTTTTGTATCTATATCTTCAGTCTTGTTCTATTTCAAAACCAGTTAAGGTTTTTTACAGTCTCATCAGTAAAACTAGTTGCCGGCGAATATAAAGATCTTCTAAATCAACGCCAGTTCTGAATGACCAACTCTAAGTCTAATTCAGATCGACATGGTTAGTGAATCAGTTGTTGGCTTTTATTCATTAATACACTTTGTAAATTCTATGATAATTAACAAGCTTTTTGAAAACACTGTCTCATA